AGGACTCTCAAGGCTTTCATGTCAAGGAAAGCCGGTTCAGCTTAAAAGTCACAAGATGGCCTTCTTAGTTGCAAGTCATTTTAGTGTGGTTTGTTTATGTTGTTTCTGCTATTTTACAGCTGTTTCGGTCATTCTGTCTCTTCCTTGTTCCTTTTTTCTCCCTATTTCTCAGTTGGATGTGGAATTTGCCATATTGTCTATATGGCCATATTTCCATTTCTGTCGACTCTCAAGCTGTACCGACCAATTTGGTGCATTTCACTCAACAAGAAACATGATGGAGCTATACACTTTATTTTTTAGATAGTTACATTTGTGCATGTTCTTACTGTGCATCTTTTTATTTTGATTTTCCTCCCTCTTCTATTTCTTTCTTGATGCAGGCTCTTCTAGGTTTTGTAAATTTCAAGCTTTATCATTCAATAAATGTGAAGTATCCCCCTATTCTTGATCCTCGGCTGGAAGCTTTAGCTGCTGGTAAATGTTTGACTGATGAAACCTTCAGTTGAAGTAATCTTTTTTATTAGTCAGAATAGAGTGATGTACATGCCGCTTATTTTTTATGATTTTCATCTTTTTCACTCTAGTGCGAGGTTTTATTTTTTATTTTATAACTAATAAGATTAACTATGTGTTTCTTAATGTGTTAAGAGCTTTATGCATTGTGTCGCTACATTTCTGCTGGATCTGGAAGGTTATCCGGGGATCCTCAAGCGGTTACTTCTATTGAAGATGGACAACGTGAGGTTGAGAAAACAGGTACACGAACTGAGGAATCTGAGCTTAGGCTTGCTCAGCTGCAACATCAGCTTCCAGCCAATGAACCAGGTGCACTAATGCATCTCATGGAGAATGCTGATGACATGGATGATGATGATCATGAGAAAAAAGAATGCAGAAATCTTTTCAGAAACTTAAAAATTTTCTTAAGTCGTGAGGTGAGTGCAGCATGTTAATTATATCGTGTCATAGAACTTTTAAAGATATTTTATATCTTTATCTTATTAAGTATATGGATCTTGGGTCAAAGTTTGAATCTATTTTAGAGCTTGAAAGTTGTACTTGGAATTATTCTGTCTCTTAATCTCAATATCATGATAATTGGCTGTCAGTGACTTTTGCTGATGCCTGATGGTATCTGTTATACTTGTATTGCCTTAGGTTCCAAGAGAGTCATTGCTGTTTGTAATTCCAGCTTTCGGTGGGGTGGTCTCTTGGGAGGGTGATGGTTCTCCATTTAAAGAATCAGATGAGGACATCACTCATCAGGTAAAAATTCATTCGCCATTAATGCATGCCCTATATCAGTTGAGTTTCATGCTGCTCAAATTTTGTTAAAACACATTTTTAAATAAGAATAAGCAAACATATGCCTACAATGCCCTCAAATAATTGACGCATGAAGAAATATAGGGATACTTGTGGACCTGATGCCATAAACTCTTCTGAGCTGCTTGCAGCTCCAATTTAACTTGGTCAGATAGATCTGGTACTGATTTCCATGCATCATGGTGCAGGAAGGGATTGTCTTATGAAAAATACAGAAAATGCATGTCTAACAAGATTCTACATATTATTCAAATTTTAGTTGACAAGTTACACCATCTTAATTTTGGTTGATTTGTTTCTTATTTGTCTGATAATCCATCATGGAAATCCCTGGTGAGATAAATTAAAATGTTAGATGGTTGGAAACAACTTGCAACATATTTTAGGATATGACATGTGATTTATGCAACAAAAGATA